CTTCAACAGGGCACTGTGTTCCTCTTCCATAGCCGCTCGCCAATTGGGGTCCGCAAGAGCGCTACGGAAGGTCTTCGGCACCGGTGAAAGAGGCGCAGCATGGAACACAGCAGGCATCCGGTAGCCGCTCTTCGAACGTGTGCCCATGGCGGGCTGGTTGGTCACAAGAAGGACAACAACAACACCCTTGGGCAGTGGAAGCGGCCTTGGTGGTGGTGCTTGAAACCGCACCGGGCGGTAAAAGCGGCGGTCGGAGTAGGCGATGGTCGAGGCCGGTGTGTGTAGTGGTAGGTGAAGTCGCGTTACACGAGAGGCGGGAACCAGTGGGGGCCCATGGGCGCCTAAGGAGGCGACACCGTGACTGGGAGCCTTGAGTCAGTCTTGGAGCCGGCGTCGCCTTGGAAGCCTTGGCAGAACGTCTGTTGACGAGTGAAGGCGCCTCCAGGTGTGTTGGGCGCGTCCTGAGCCGCGCGAGGCGCGAGAGAGGTCTTTGGTGCAGCGTGGCGTGGATGATAGGGGTCTAACGTCTTGCTTGTGCATGATGGGATGTAAGCCTTGGGTGCCGGGGATCATCAGTATTTGGAGTCGTCGTCGGCGCCCTGAGCCTGACCTCGGAGGGACCGGCGAGAAGGCTGGTGGCACCGGAGGTGCTGGGTGGTGCTCCTGCAGACAAAAACTTGTGCGACGGTCCAATAGGAGCGGGCACAACATCAGTAGCACCAAGAAACTCAAAGTCCGCCGGAATACTAGGACCATTGCGGTCAGCAAAGGGGAAGGTCGTTTCATCGAAGATGACGTGCCGGGAGATGATGACTCTATTGGAGAAGAGGTCAAGGCAGCATTATCCTTTGTGGTGAGCGGAATAGCTTAGGAAGACACACAAGACAGATCTAGGAGCGAGCTTATGTGGAGCCGTGGCGGACATGTTTGGATAACACTTGTTGCCGAAGACTCGTAGGTGATCATACGCCGGCGGCGTGCCGAACAGGGCAAGGTGGGGCATGGAGAACTATAGAGTCTTGGTGGGCAATATGTTAAGCAGGAAAGTCGCCGTGGAGAGGGCCTCCACCCAGTAGGAGGGAGGCATAGACGCCTAAAAGAGCAGTGAGCGAACGACATTATTGATGGAGCGAATAATGCGTTCAGCTTTACCGTTTTGAGGCGAGGTGTAGGGGCAAGACATACGAAGATGGATGCCCTGGGTGAGGAAGAAGTGACGGGTCCTAGAGTTGTCAAACTCTTTCCCGTTATCGCACTGGACAGCCTTGACGCGGGCGCCAAATTGGGTGGAGGCGTGGGCGATGAAGTGAGCAAGCGTGCTGAAAGTGTCAGATTTAAGTCGCAAAGGAAAAGTCCACAAGTAGTGAGTGCAATCATCAAGTATAACCAAATAATATTTGTAACCGGAAACACTAACTGGAGAGGTCCACAAGTCACAATGAATAAGATCAAACTTGCTAGACGCACGAGAGGTGGACGCATGAAAGGGCAGACGAACATGACGCCCTAACTGACAAGCATGACATAAATCTGAACAATCCTGAATTTGACATGAAACACTAGACGCAAGCTTCGACAACGCCTCATGACCGGGGTGGCCGAGACGCCGATGCCACAGCGGGGAGGGAGCCTAGGCGACAAGGGAGTGTGCTGGAGGTAGGCGCAGTGAATATAGCGGCCCGGAGCTATTGCACCTGACGATCTCGGTCCGAGATGGAAGAACCTTCAAAGAACAACTAGCGGGGTCAAACTCAATAGAACAATTATTGTCGATAGTAAATTGATGAACAGAGATGAGATTCTTAATAATTTATGGGGACACAAGGACATTATTAAGGCGTAAAGTAGGAGACAACTCTGTGGAGCGATTGGCGATGTGAGGAAGAATAGAAACATTACCGACAATAATAGATGAAGGAGTAGGATACCGCGAGAAGAGAACATGTGAAAGACAGGACTGAGATGTCATATGTGAAGTAGCACCTGAGTCGAAGTACCACTCGTTGGACGAAGGAGAATTCGTGACGTCGTCTTTGAAAAGCGGAGGCGAGGGTCGTCGGGTCCCAAGAAGGAGGCCGCCACGGGGTTGTAGTACCAGGCGACCCTTGTCCGGAGCCATCAGAGAGGCGGCGACGAATGACAATGTCTTTGGTGGGCGACAAGTGCTCTTCTTCTTTGGGCGAAGAGGGCTCTTCTTCTCTGCGCTGCCGCTCTGCGCTTGCTGCTGAGGAGGCACCGGGATGGGTGCCGGCGGAGGGCGGGGACCCTCTGGCCACATCTGAATGGAGCCCATCCAGGGGTTGTAGACGGTGGGCGGGGGGCCGACCGCGGCGTGACAGTGATGGGCACCGGTGAGGTGCTGCTTGCTACACGTCTTGCCGGTGGGAGGGCTGGGCACGGCCTCCGATCTGCCACCACCGAACCCCCTTGCCACCGCCGCCGCGCTTGCTGCGGCGATTGTTGTTGGAGGACTTGGAGCCGCCAGCGCCCCCGGAGCCCGTACTGGACGTCGGTGAGGCGGCGCTAGGAGAGCTCGATGCGGTGGAAGCGTGGCTTGATGTGTGGAGGCTACTTCTTGTTTTCAAGGTGAGTTCCTCGAGGATGAGGTCATCACGAGCCTCCGGGAAGGTGGGGAAGGGCGGTTGCGGCGAAGAAGGGCCCGGCGTGGGTCAAGCGCTTGTTGAGGCTGCGGATCACGTTGAGGATGAGGGTGCGGTCGGTGATCACCTTGCCAGCGGCAGTGAGATCATCGGTCATCTTGAGGCGCCGGCGATGAGTCGGTGGATCGAGAGGTCACCTTGAACGAAGTTGCGAAACTTTGTCTCCAGGTGGATGGCACGTGCCTCCCAATTGCCGAGGAACTGGGATTCGACGGCGAGCCAGGCATCACGGGCGGTGGAACCCTGGGCGGAGCTGATCTCGGCAAGGTCATCGGTGAGAGTCCCGACGATCCAGGACTTGACCACGCAGTCCATCCGAGCCCAGTCGGGGGAGACGGGATCAAGAGGGGCAAGGCAGACGTGATCCTGGAGAGAAAATTTGCCGAAGATGAGCAGGAACTGGTCGCGCCAGCGACTAAAGTTGCCGGAGTCGACGTCGAGGACGATGGGGACGAGGGTCCGGATGTTGTTTGGCGGCGACACAGGCGTGCTGAGTTCAGCAGCGCGAGGGCCTCGTGAAGGAGCATGGCCGAGGCGAGGTCGGGAGGGGGCACCGAAGAGGCGCTGAAAGAGGCGCCACCAGGTGTAGCAGGGGCCGCGGCGGCCGCGCGCTCCTTGGTGGAGCGGAACCAGGGCTTCTCTGGCGCGGGCAGCAGCCGCGTCGTGGTCCTTGGCGGCGGCCGCGGCCTCCTCCTCGGCCTGGAGAGCGCGTGCCAGCACGGCCTGGCGCTCCTTCTCGAGGAGTTGGGCGGCGGCGGCGGTGGCGTCGTTGGCCTTCTCCTTGGCGAATCGGGCCGCGACCTCGTCGGTGGCGTGCTCCCTAGACTTGGGGGAGGGCGGCGGGGTGGGAGACATGGTGCGCAGCACGGCAGGGGAGGCCGGCGCGCGGGCGCAGCATGGCAGGGGTCGGCGCGTGGTGAGTGGGCAGCGGAAGAAAAAGACCTAAACCTAGGTGGCTAATACCATGAGAGCGAATAGGTCTCGGGAAAACTGTTGATAGATTGATGAGAGTACAGGGAGTACAATACATAGGCAAGGATCATGGAGGGTTTATAGACTACACCCAAGTGAGCAACGGAAGAAAAAGACCTAAACCTAGGCGGCTGATACCATGAGAGCGAATAGGTCTCGGGAAAACTGTTGATAGATTGATGAGAGTACAGGGAGTACAATATATAGGCAAGGATCATGAAGGGTTTATAGACTACACCCAATCAACGGAGATCCTTGCCTATTCCAGTGATCATCTACCATACAATCCCTAGAGGCAGCCCAGCCAATAGGCGTGGGCGCCGAGGCCCATATGGCCAGCCCATAGGCGCTATTCTAACAATCATGATAACGTAGAAAAGGACTAAGATTAACTTCATATAAATAAATGTCGGCCAGCTAAGCCGTAGGTAGCATAACTTACATGTTTCTTGAAGTCTTTGGTAAAGCAGCGGTTCAAGTAACACCGTGGAGTACATTTTCGGGGACACGCATTTTATAAGGTTTCATTGTTTTACCTCCTTTTTCTGGAGGCTCTTTGATAATTCTGACATCCTTTTCAAGAAATGAGATGAACCAGTCCATATCAAAGATTTCTGAAAAATTACTGCAGCATTGGATACAAAAGAAGTGGAATAAATTAAATCTGAACACCTATAAATGGTAAAAGATCATTGGCTGTAATTTGAGAAGTGCTCACTGGTCACTATTGCATACCTTGAATCTTTCCAGAAAGATGTTTGATCCAGTCTGGGAACAACAAGTGTAGCGTTCAAAATCGTGCAGCAACTACAGCATCAACTATCTAGAAAGAAGCAGGGGTCATGATCGTCTATAGAGAAAACTAGCTTAGTTTTATACACCACATGTATTATACATCAATTGGCGAGGCTGACAAATTTAGATACCCCAGGTTGTTTGAACAGGTCCTGACAACATATGTTATACACCACGTGTAGCTTAGTTTGGAGTAATAAGATAAAAAAGATTGTGCAACATGTGGAGAAAAGAATTCATGTTTACTTCAGGTGTTTTAATTATATCAATCCATTTACAAGAAGACAGTAACTATCTAGAAAGAAGCAGGGGTCATGATACGTCTACAGAGAAAACTAGCTTAGTTTTATACACCACATGTATTATACATCAACTGGCGAGGCTGACAAATTTAGATACCCCAGGTTGTTTGAACAGGTCCTGACAACATATGTTATACACCACGTGTAGCTTAGTTTGGAGTAATAAGATAAAAAAGATTGTGCAACATGTGGAGAAAAGAATTCATGTTTACTTCAGGTGTTTTAATTATATCAATCCATTTACAAGAAGACAGTCAGAGAAACATCTCACCCCTGTTCTCTGCTGATTGAGACCTCCACTTGTAACAACAATCAAGTATCGATCTGGTTGTGTGGTAATACCAGAATCTGCCAAAACAAATAAAAAAAAGGAAAGACCTTTAGGTAGATATAGTTGTTAAACATCAGCCATCATAATGCTAATGAAAAATGATGCACATAGTCATTCATCATTGACACATACAACACAGGTCAGAGTACACAGCATCCAACAGTTATGACAAGAAAGTATAGATTATAAGCAGTAATTCACAGCAGAGTTACTACTCACCAAGAAATTTACTGCTAGAGTTGCTGCATCCGTGGAAGTTGCTAGCAAGCTTCGAACGCCAAAGATCATCTTGCCCAGTCCATCCATGTGTCTACATTTTGAGCGAAATATAACCGGCTGATCAGCTATTATTAATACATGAAACTATGAAAGGTCCAACCTAACATTTCCTATGCTTTAGAACAGACAGAATATGCTATATGGTCTGATGCGACACGGAGCTCAAGCCCACAAGGACAAATAAGTACAAACATCTATCCAAATTCGACTCATTTATGCACAAACCGAACCATAAACAACAAGTTATGAATTCCCATCTAACCGGAACACTGAGCGCGTCGCCGCTCTCGGAGACCTCCAGTTCGCCGCCGGAGCCGTTTGTCTGCAGGATCATACAGAGCAATGGACAGAGAAACAATCAGATCAGGAAGCACGGACAAGGCTGCCAAGGCGAGGAGCTAGGGTCCGTCCATACCGGATGGCGGCGGAGGAACCGCCGGGATGATGAGGAGGAGGAGGTGCCGAGGCCCGGGCGCGGGTCGGCGAGTGGCGGCACGGAGAGGAGTGAGACGGAGAGGAGCGAGACGGCGAGGAAGAGCAGGCCCAGCCCGGCCGCCGGCAAAGCAATGCGGCGCGGGCACAGGTGGTGGCGGCCGTGCCCGTGCGGGTAGCCGCGCCGCCGCGGCTGGCCCATCTCCGGCGGCGGCCGGCGGGGCCGAGTGGGGACGGGAGGGTGGCGACGGTGGTGGGTGGGCCCCGGCGGCCCAGCGGCTTTGAGTATTTTAGCGGGGGCATGGGACGGGCCCAAAGGTGGTGGCACCGTGGCAGCCCTGGTCGGCGGTTCGTTGACCGAGGTCGTTATTCGGTTGGCCTGGACGACCCCTGTAATAGTTTCAGAGCTTTTTTTAGCTGCCCTGTTGAATGCCTCGTTTACCATGTTTTAGCGAAAATGTTTGGCGTGTCACAGTTCCTGCGGAGTTCAAAATTGCATGGGTGTGTAGGGATGCTAACTCGGTGGCCCACCGCTGCGCGAGTATGGTGTCGGCCACGGAACGCGTCCTTTTTTTTTTGCTAGACTATATCTCGGAATGGCTGTTGGGTATAGCTGTCGCTGATTGTACTCCTGTCGTTGATTATTGAAGCTCTGTATTGCTAAAAAAAAGCTTTGATAAATTTGGCAATAATAGGCTGTTTATTATGCGTATGAGGATCGGAGGAACAGAACGCTAGTGATAAAGCAATCCTTAAAAAGGTGGACGCCAATTATCATCAGACACTTTGTCAAAATACTACTACTCCTGAAATAAACACGGTAATCACAAACTAACACAGTTAAGAAGGCAAACTCTGCTTCTGATAAGGTTCCTAAACAGGCGCTCTAATCCGTCCTCAAGGCCTTCGATGCAGCCCTCCAGCGACTGCAAATGGCTCCGAGCATTCGACGGCTCGTTGCCACCAGCAACGTCCTTGATGGCGCCGAAAGAGCCAAACACGAGTAGCGCCTTCCCGAGCTTCCCCGGACCCGAACGACCTGCTCCTGTTGTGCGCCTGACGACGACCTGCCTCAGCAGAGCTTCCATGGACGACTGCAGGACGCAGACGATGAGCTCCCTGACCTCCGCCAGCATCGCCAACGCCCTCGGCGGCGCGCCGCCGCAAGAGAGATCGTCCCTGGTGGTGTCAAGGGCAGCACCAGCACGCCTACCGGACTCCCGCCTGATCGCCCTGGCCACCTTCTTCAGCGGCCCGGCACACTTCTCCGCCGCCCTGGCGCTGACACTGACAGCGGCGGCGTCACCGCCTCGGCGTGGTGCTTCGTGGCTGTTCGCCGCGCGGTGTCTGCGGAGGAGCGAGCGCAGGTCCCGGACCCGCTCCTTGGCGTCGGCCAGGCCGTCCCGCGCCGCGCCGCACAGGTCCAGCAGCGTCACCAACCCTTCCAGCTCGCCCTCCACGAGCCGCCGGTGCCGGGGAAGGCGGAGCGCGTCCCAGTTGCTGGGCAGGCGGACGACCTCCTCGACGTACTCGTGCAGGTCGCTGAGGTCCTGGAGCAGAGCGCGCAGGGCGTGCGCTGGTGGCGGGGGCGTGGACACGCAGCAGCAGGACCTGAGGCGCTGCAGCTCCTGCTCGGCTTTGAGGACCAGGGAGTGCGGCCTTGTGGGCAAGCTGATAGATCGCAGATGGGCAGCCATGGATCGGATTGTTGCAAGAGGAAGCGATGGGTGTGATGCGAGAAGAGAGATGGATCGATGAAGCAGTGAAGAGCTATAGGTTCCTGAAATGTCTGTGTGGCTTGCTGCCCTTTTATATGTCACGTACTCCTGTTTAACATCTCGGCTTTGTTTCTCCATTCATCGTGAACTAACATGCGCTGGCTGCAACGCGAGCGACAGAGACCGTGTGGACACCGTGGATATATCAGGCACTGTCTCGTGCAACTTGTAGCCTGTCTTTTGCACCTGGTATAACTAACCTTTGTTACAATCATCCACTGTGACAATCATATATGCCCAAATAATTCGGTTCATCATGCGCTAGATGTGCAACAACCGCCTATCGATGATCGATCTATCATATAGCTAGAGCGGATACATACCTGTATTTAAGAACACCATGTGGCTGGCTGGCTAGATTACCGGCCGGTTGATCTAGAACTAATCAAATATTATTGCCGCAAACTACCTGCTGCTGCATGCTGGTTAATCAACTTTGTTTTGAGATGGTTGTTTAATCAACTAAGCACGAGGATGAACAAACTCCAATGTGTTTCTCTGGAGACACATTGGGCCGTGGGGAGCTGCTGCCTGATGAAAAACGCGCAAATCCAGAAAATTGTTCCAAAGTGGTTCCAAGTTTAGGTTTTTTTTTACTTGTTCTATCTGAGATGTGCTGTCTGAAAGAGCGTTGACCCAATAGATACAAGATCCGGCCTATGCTCAGAAAATAAAAATGGTCTTCACAAGAGTCATTCCTGACACTGACCCAAAATCTATTCACAATTCGAGACGTCTTTTACAAGGTAAGCACATTGAGCAGAGCAACTCTGGCCTGAACAGATGCTCCAGCCCACTCTCCACGGCCTCGACGCCGTCCTCTAGTTCCTGCAGCGTCTCTTGCGCGCTCATCGCCCCCTCATGGCCTTCCAAGTCTTTACATACTCCAAGACCAAGTGACCACTCACTACCTAACAGTTTGGACACGACGCACCACCTGCTCTTCCTCCTCGTGTCCACAACTCGCATGGACAGCGAGGACAGCACGCACTGCAGCACCGCCACGGTGACCGCCACCGCCTCCGACAGCGTCTTCACCGCCGCCGGCGTCCCGTCGGCGTTCGCCGGCGCACCGCGCTTGCTCAGGAGCTTCCCCGCCTTCGCCAGGCACCGGACGTACCCGCGCACGGCCGCCCTGGCGAGCACGGCGTCGCCTCTCTGGACCGCGTGCCGCGCCGCGCGCACGTGCTGCTTCGCGGACGCCACGGCGTCCCTGACGCGCTGGCACAGGTCCAGCAGCGCCACCGACGCGTCCAGCTCCGCCTCCACGGCGCTCCTCCAGCGCGCGCTTGACAGCGCGTCGCGGCCGCCGTGGAGCCACACGAGCTCCTCGATGCGGCCGTACGCGTCGCCGAGCCGCCCCGCGAGCGACGGTGCCGACGCCGACGCGCCGGACCGGATCCGCTGCAGCTCGTCCTCGACCTCTTGCACCAGGGCGTGCGGCCTCACGGGCAGGCTGGTCGATCGCAGATGCTGGCACGCCATGATCTTCGCTGTTTCTTAACGCGGCAACGTACGAGTTCGACGACCCGTGCTGCGTGCCGCACTTGCACTGTTGCGATGCGCCTGCAGGGGCCTTGGCGTCCTTGTCCGAGGTTTCGACGAGCCTTCGGCCTTCGCGGCGGCTTATATCCGTGGTCCAGACTCCAGTGGGCAGGCATGGCGGGCGGGCGGCAGCGTGTCGTGGGGTTGGGGAGGCCGGTGCGTCGTGCTCGGCGAGCGGTGTCGGATCGGTCGGGCGGCAAGATGCGGGCCGCGGGACACGGGAGGCCGTCAGGTGGGTGGGCCGGCGGGGGCCTTGTCCGCTTGTTTCCCGGCCTCGTGGCCTCGTGGAGGCGTGGGCGCCAACAGGTTTTGCGTGTGCTGTTGGAGCTGTCTCCGTGCAGTGGAGGCATCGTCAAATTAGCTAGGCGGAGCTCTCGACGAGTGAAAATGGCTCCGACTGCTTTGAAGGAGCAGCTGTCGTCAATTGAATTGGTTAAAAGTTGAGCTTGATAAAAAGATTCAATTCTCAGCTGAGATTACTGGAGTCGTAGCTGAAGCTGTCCTAAAATTTTCTCTTGCACGTTTTTGAGCTGCTTCGTTCGCAGTGAGCCATGGCTGAGCAAGCTTGCCTTGCTAGTACTCTAGTAGGGCGAGCAAATTTCGCTCTCCACAATGGCAAGCTAAAGTCTTGTTCATATAAACTACGAGATAAGCTCGTTCAGGATCAAGCACACGTTCGCTCTGATTTCTCGCTGATAAAGGCAATATAGTGACTAGCAAAGGTTCCAAAGCAGCTCTACTGTAGTCACACTACATGTCCCTTGCGCTTCAAGTCTTCAACTCACTTTTGTAGCGGCCCCTATGTCCCATTCTATATAGTGTAAAATCCATCTAACATACAATAACTATCCAAGTGATAGTTAATGACAGGGTATATAGCGCACAACTCATCCACTAATTGGCTCGATTTCAGTCCTAGGATCAGGGCGAGACCTTAGCAGCCATGTTCCCACAAGAAAACGGGAACATGGGACGAGGAACGGAAACTTGAGGTGTTATTTTATAACGTGGGAACGTAAATATTCTTGAATCGGGGACGTGGACGTCTCCGAAACGTCGTTTTTGGAACGAGGAACGTGGCCATGTTTCACGTTTCCGGCTGTTAAGGGCTAGACACGACTTGCAACACACCCCGTCACCTAGATCTAGGTTGTTTCCCTACCAAAACATCGTGTGCGCTCTGCTGCTGAATTCCAACACCACCACGTCTCTCTGATGACAGGCACCCACGTTGCCAATGGTGTTGGCCAGCTCGCCTTTGGAGCAATGCCAATGGCCACCAAGGAACCAGCCATTTGAAGGCTAGCATGTGACCTACGTCCGCTAGACCCTTGTTGTGTATAGTGCCTCTCCTCACTCATGTCATATGGAAGCAACATTATATTAGGTGGAATAAAGGAAAACAAAACACGTAGAAATAGAAAAAACGCATGAATGGAATAGAGTAAAAAGTGAAAACTAGGATTCTAAAATCATGAATGAAAATTTTGGGGTGTTATTCGGACCACGGTCCACACAGCACTGAGCAAATTAACCACTATCTATCCTCGAATGAGTTGGTTTCAATTGGATTCCATAACAACTATCAGTACTCTAGAGAAAAGACATTTGAACTATGCTAGCCTTTTTCTAATACGAAATTCATAAGGCTAGTTGAATCATAAACAGTACATCCATAATTTGTAGATAAGCAATTTCCTTGATGCTACAATATACTCCATCTCTTCCTCTTTTGTTTTCTTCTTCGGAATTGCTAGCGCACAGACATCCGGATGCAAATAAAATATTGGACACTCTGTCGACCCACCACCATGATTAAAAAGCGGAATTGCTAGAACCCGGTTCTCTGCCCACACTCTTAGCACGCCGCGCACCCTACAACCTCATGCTTCACCACCCAAATATGGCAGATGAGAGAAGGGGGAGAGAGAGATGGCTTCAACATTAAAACACAGTTGTTGCAACATCTTGAATCATCTTATGAAACAACTAGAGAAAAACTGCTGCAACATTAAAACATAGTTGTTCCAATCATCTTATGAAACTAGAGAAAACCCACAGTGGCACGATAGAGAATGTTTGAAAAAAACTAGGTCGCTTGTTGCACCATCGAAAAACATGCAACTAGAACATAGGAAAACACTTCTTTACTCCATCTCGATCTCGACCAAACAAACCAGCAACAGGCAGAGGAAAGTCATTGCAACAAGACCAACTATTGTCGGGACATCTAGTTATAATAATTGCTGAAATATAAACAATCATATGTCGCAATAATGAAGCATCTGCTAAAACAGATCTTGGCGAGGAGCTCCAGCCCTGGCCGCACGCCTATTGCCCTCCGCTCATGAGCGCACCACTGCTTTGCCTCTTGCTCCTTGCCCACATATGTGCCATAGCCTCATACTCCTCCGACGTAGCAACAGAGATACATCCAAGAGGGGGAGAGAGGGGCGGGCTAGTCTCAAAGTTAGAGCCAGTGGCACGGAGATCGGCATGTGTGTTGGAGCTCGCTGGCATCGGCGCTGCCCCATCCCTGTGTCACAACGCTCACCTCTAGGCTTGACCACGAGGAATCGCTTCGTCTTGAGATGGCAAGCATGGCCGAGCTCGTTGTGCCGCGCGCTTGGCTTGGTGTGAGAGGAGCGCGTGGAAGATGTGAAGCGAGAGTGGTGTTCTGTGTGTAGATAGTAAAGACTGAAAGTAGAAAATTGTAATGATCCTTTACTACTGAGTAGCAAATACAAGGGTTTTGGATACAAATTTGGAAGAATTGGAGGGAATCTAGACTGGGAATAGCAGGGATTAGAGGGAGACAGCAAGAACAGCAGGGGGGTTCCTGGAACTAGACGAAGGTAGACGACGAGTTCAGAGTTCAGGTTCTTGTTCGATGCCTCTCGATGACCGGCCGCTCTGGTCTTTATTCTCATCTCCCGTCCCGGCAACTGTTACTTGGAAGCCCATCTCGCGGCCAGCTTGGAAGCCCACCTGGTGGCCCAGTCCCTGACAAAGATAAAATGGGAAATGTGAGGCTAAGCCTTCAACGAGTGGAAAAGAATGAATGGTTGGGTGAGTAGGGTGAGGAGCGTGAGGAGCATGAGGTAGAGGTAGGTGTCCGATCTTTTATTCAGGTCCAGACGTGAGACCTCGTTTGGCAGGGCTTCACTTCATTAGTGAAGCCATTTTTTTTATTTTAGCTCCACGAACAGTTCCACCGGTTGAGCTGAAGCGGTTTTGGTAAATCGTTTGGCAAAATGGCTTCCCTGTGAGAGCATGTTTTTAGGGGCCTGGAGGAGAAGCCACTTTTTTTTGGCTCCATCCCACCCCAAATCATTGTGAGAGCATGTTTTTAGGGGCTTCACCAGTAAAGCTATTTCACTTTACCCCGTTTGGCAGAAAACGGCTCCAAACGTCTCCTGAAGCTGGTAAAGAAGCCCTGCCAAACGGGGCCTAAATTGGAGCAGTTTCGTTGCTAAATATATAATCGTGGGTGTAACTAGGCATCATATCTACGAACTTACCAAGTTGTTGCACCAAATTAAGCATTTACAAGTTGTTGGATTACTCATTCGTAAAAACTATGAGCACGTCCGATTACACTTCTGTGTATATACTTGTATTATAAGCTTAAATGATTATTAAACGCTAACTCGTGAGTTATACTGTGAAAGGGCATTAGGGCTACGACCATTAGCACCCCTAAATATACCTCTTGTCGACTGAACCGGAGGTCCGGAACGGCGTGTTCCCCTGCCTCTGCATCCGCGCGCGACGTGTCGCGCTGGTGTTGCGGCCATGTGACCGAAGAAGAGTCATCCAGGGGCTGGCTGCCTGGCTCTGCCTGCGGTGCGCGCGTCGATCTCGGCCTCGGAGCTGTTGCGTCATGCCGACATGCGTGCGGTGCAACATGCTCGCGGAGTCACGGACTGACGACGCCTGACGGGGCCATATGCAACTGCGCGAGTCGGCTGGCTGTTCGCTTCCGAAACGTTATTAGAAGACCTGGGGATGCAATGCACGCAAAATACAGACATCAGAGGTAATAGTTTTGCTTGGGTAAAAACAAATGTTGATCAAATCTTCAAGATCAACAAAATACTGAAAACCAGCTGCTTGAAGAGTTCGCAAAACTTCTAAAAGCACATGCATGTTTAATTTACAGAACATATAGATGCTCCACATGTTTGATAGCTTGATGCACCACTTGCTGCTCCATCGACAGAATATTATTCTAAGAAGACAGTCTTTTTATTGCTTTCTTTATAGGCAAGATGCCTTGGATCTCTAAATCTTAATGGATCACAAGCTTCGAGATAGCATTGCTGAAGAGATGACTGGGCCAGTACCCAGTAATAAACATGGACACCGTAATTGGGCTCCTTGTATACTCTTTTTATTGAGCTGGGCTGGCTGAAAAGCTATATTGACCGCACTAAGTTTGTTTAGATAAAAACAAAACTTTTGAATAAAAACAAAACTTTTGAATAAGGAGGACCAGATAATACGATGACACCTCATATAAACATGATAAATATGTATAACAAATGTATGTCTCAATGTTCTCCTAAAAAATAGCTTTTCAATGTTTTTGCACGTATATTTAGTACTCATAACAAAAAAAAGGACAATATTCATCATCAAATTAGAGTGAAATAATATTTTTTTAGCTATGCAATTGAATTTTCTATAGGTATTTAGGTATTTTTTTAAAAAAAAATCATTGTGCTTTTTTTTGGGGGGGCGCATGGCCCTGCAAGGTATATCTTCAAATTATACATAAAAACTTGGAATAAAAAATAACATTCTATCAGTCAGTCATTCTATCGTCTGCTTTGATCAATATAGCGGGTGTTGTACATTAGTACATGAACAAAGTACATTGAACATCGAAATCAAAGTACAGTCTTTATAACGAACCAGCCAACCAACCTTAAACTTGG